ATTAATTCAGTAATTAGTGCTCTATTAGAGGATGCAACTAAAGGCCAAAAAACTGCACAACAACTTTATAATAGTATCGATCAAGACTTTTTAATTGCAACATATTTTTTAGCTGATATTCTTTCACAACTTCGTCATCTATCTTTAGTTTTTCAAGCTGATTATGTTTCAGTCTCAGAAGTTACAATGCAAGTAAATGCAGTTATTGAATCTATTACAGCTGATTTTATTGGTGAAGCAAATATACAACCTACTTTTGGGACTATACTATTACGGTTTATGAATCAGCAAAATATTTTACCTCATGATCTTCCTTTATTTGTACGAGAATTTGCTATAAATACAGTTAAAAATATTAAGCTTTGCTTTCCAGATCGTAAACTTATATCTTTATTTAAAATTTTTGATCCAAAACAATTACTTACTGATCGTTGTTTAATTTTAACTTATAGAAATTATGAAATTACTGAAATTGGAAATTTTTATGGAACTTCTAAAAAAACTACAGGTAATAAATTTTTTAAATAAATTTATAATTTTAAATAAACATATATTTATTTATTATTATTATTTATTATTATTTATAAAAAATTAGAACACGATTATCAAAAAATTATTGATGCAGACAATCTTTCACAAGAATGGCAAATTATCCGATCAATTCTCTCTAATTATCGTAATTTACATATTACTGATGCATGGTACAATATTTTACGAGATAATCAAGATTTTACTTTAATTTATCCTAATATTTATATTATTATTTCAATTGTTTTGTGCTTACCTCTTTCTAATGCTTATGTTGAATGTGTCTTTTCAAAGCAAAATCTTATCAAAACTAAGCTTCGCAATAGAATGAATTCAGATACTCTGAATGATATTTTAATGATTTTCTTAAATGGTCCTCCTTATAATGAATTTAATTATGAACATGCTTATCAATTTTGGCGAAGTTTAATTTTTCGCTAAATATATTTTTTTTAAATCTTCTAATTAATTTTATATAATAAATATATATATTTTCTATTAATTAAAATTTAAAAGAACTATATAGTTTATATATAATACAATATATAACATTTTTTATTTATAATCAGATTTAAGCATAAGAAAAATTATAGAGTTCAAGAAAACTTGAATAGTGAGGGGTTTCAGAATTAAACTTCGTAAATCTTATTTTGATAAAATAAGAAGACATATTTATTTTAATTAAAATTCAAATAAACTTATTTATACGATCTTTCTTATAAATCATTTTATTGTTAATCGATACTGCTTCTAATACCGTTTTATGCTTAATATGCCTAAAATTTCACATCGACAACGTCAAATTAAACAAATAAATAATCTTTTAAAGACACTTATGAACAAATACATAATATCAAGATGTTTCGGTGAAGTAGTTGGCAATTCTTTGACTATTTTATCTGCAGCTAAGAATTGCCTTTTAATTTCATTTTCATCATCAGTGTTTTCCATGCTTTTATACCATTCTTCAAGTTTATCAATAATTTTCCAAGCATAAGGCTGTTTTTGTGAATCCGAATCCATGTATTCCATAGCTAATTCAATATAGCAATCTGGAGTTCCAGGAGCAAATTCTGGCTTTAATCCATTGCAAATTTTTATTGCAAGTTCGGTATCAAATTCATGACTATCAAAAGGCCTTTGTCCAGTTGACATCCCTGACATTATAACTCCAAAACCATAAATATTAGTGGCTTTTGTAAACTTTTGACCCGATAAGACTTCTGGAGCAACATAAGGCATAACTCCATAAGTGCAATCTTCCGAATCATTTTCACCATACTTTTTAGACAAACCCATATCTGAAATGTAAGATTGTATAACATTGCTAATACTTTTATCTTGCAGAATATTACCACTGTGGAAGTCTGCATGAATATACCCTGCATCATGAATATTTTCTAAATCTTTTGAAATATCTTTAAGTAGCTTTAATTTAGTCTGCCAGGTAAGCTCTCGAAAATTTTTTCTTAAAAACTTATAAAGGCTTCCATTATCTGCGTATTGAAATACCATCAAGTATTCATTTGTTTTTGTATTTTGAGTCAATCCATATATTTTAAGCTTACTACCCACCAACACATTTCGTAAGACTTTCAAACTTTAGAAATTTATATATTAGTTTACTTAATAGACTATACAATTATATTATAATGATTTAACTTACTTCTTTCAAAAAATTATGATTTTCATTAGAGCCAGATAAGGTCTTGAGAGCAACAGTGCTAGATGGTTTGCACGCTCTCTCATAAGTATTCTTAATTACTTTGATTTCTCGTATACCATCTAACCAGGTTGCAGAAAATATAGAACCAAATCCTCTTTTACCGTTTTTTTTAATATCAACTAGCCTATCAAATGAAATCTACTCAATCATACCTACATACGTATATGTTCTAAGTTGTAATACTTTTATGCAATCATCAATCTTTTTATTTTCACTTGTCTATCCTTGAATGGTTATGTCAGGATCGCATGTCTGACACCATGCTTTCTGCATGTTATATTCATTACAATATGCATGTTATATTCATTACAATATGCACATTTTCCACATTTAGAATCTCTATAAGATAGTTATAAATATTTATTTCTCACTTCATATGAGTTTAAACTTTATATTGAATGTAATTTTTTATACTTACCGGCTAAATTATGAGAATGAAATAAAAAATAAGATTAATGTTTTTATATTGTGTACTTG